GTATTTTTTTTTTTCCGGTACTGGGAATCAAACTCACGACCTTGTGCTTGCCAGGCAGGCGCTGTGCCACTGAGCTAAATCCGCAGACCCTCTTTTATATTTTTAGATGAGAAGAGAAGGTAAGATGAACGTGTTCCTCTGCAAGTTGCCGATGACACTAAAACACTTTCTCTTTGAAAATCCAAAGGAAATGGACGTAACCCACACCACAGAAATTACGACAGAATGTTGTGGGTTTCGTCCTTGTCGTTCTGACTGGGCCCATCTCCTGCTGGTGAACACTGTGTCATTTTTCTTGCTTTCTTTGCAATATGTGATTATCACATGAAGTACATAAATCAGTTGATTTTAAAGTTAGGAATTTGTGATTACACATACCCAAATTTAACCCCCCAAATCCTCTACAAAGCAAAACGAAGTTTACAAGGGCACAATCTGGTAGAAATACACTGCAAGCCATAAATGTAATTGTAAATTTTCTAGTAGCCACGGGGAAAAAACCAGGTAAAGTTAATTTTAAGTATATATTGATTTTATCCAAACTCCCCCAAAAACATTTAATATATAATCAAAAGTTTAAATTAGGGCTGGGGATTTAGCTCAGCGGAAAAAGCGCCTGCCTGGCAACCGCAAGGTCGTGAGTTCGGTTCCCGGTACCGGAGAAAAACCAAAAAAAAAAAAAAAAAGTTTAAATTAATGAGATGTTTTATTAATTTTTAAACTTTTTTTTTTTGGAGACAGGGTCTCGCCTTATAATTCAACCTGGCCTTGAATTTGTAGCAATCTTCTTGCCTCAGCCTTCTGAGTGCTGGGATTACAGGGCCGCGCCACCACGCCCAGTTTAAACTTTTATATTTATTTATTTATTTATTTTTTATGGTACTGGGGATTGAACTCATGACCTTGTGCTTGCCAGGCAGGCGCTTGTGCCACTGAGCTATTTCCCCAGCCCTGAAACTTTTGTATATAGTACACATTTCCCATGTATATATAGCGTGTTTCAATTTGGAGGTGCTAAATTTCAAGGGCCCTGTAGCCACATGTGGCAAGGGGCTACCACAATGGTTTGCAAAGACATTGTCAATAGCCGGGCGTGGCGGCGCATGCCTGTAATCCCAGCACTCGGGAGGCTGAGGCAGGAGGATGGTTGTGACTTCGAGACCAGCCTGGGCTACATAGTGAGCTCAAGGCCAGCCTGAACTGCACAGCGAGACCCTGTCTCAAAAACACAAAATACAAATCCACCTTTAAGGGCACAAGCCATAGACAGGAGGGAGGGCAAGCTAGTGGTGTCCAGAGACGCTTAGTGGCCTATCACGGTTCTTTCTTGTCTCTTCTTGCTGTCTTAGCTTTGTAGCTCCAAATCAAACTTAGGAAAGTCAGTCATATTATTAGCCATCCCAGAAAGATATAAATCCAAATCGTGGGCCGGGGCTGGGTGGAAGGAGGAGCTGTGTTTTCTTTTTTTTTTTTGTTTTGTTTTTTGTTTGTTTTTCTCCGGTACCGGGAACCGAACTCACGACCTTGCGCTTGCCAGGCAGGCGCTTTTGCCGCTGAGCTAAATCCCCAGCCCCTGAGGAGCTGTGTTTTCTGTTCTCACTCTCACAGTGGCCTCTGTGTGAATGAGGTGTCCGTCCACTTCCATCCCCGAGACAAAGGCCAGGCTGGCCGGCCGCCATGGTTTGGGAGGGTCCAGCCCTGACCAGCGAGCTTATTGCTCTGGGTCTGTGACTGGCAGCCCGTGTGGCTGGAAAGTGAAGCGAGTCGGGAGAGGCCAGGGGCCCATGGGCCCCTTCCGATGCCCTGCCCACAGTGACCGCAGAACCCCTCATGAGCACCACCTCTTCAAGGTTCTACGCCTCCACTTATGTCTCCCCTGGGCCACGGGAGTCTCGGGGACAGGCAGGATCCAATCTACAGCATTAGGGTTAGATGGAGGTCAATTAACAACTTTTCCTGGTGAAAACATGCTGGGATCCGTTTCCCTCTGTGTCCACGGGTCAGCCCTTTGACCCGCATGGAATCCGGTAGGTGAACGGCGGGCAAAGCTCAAAGCCCCCGCTCCTCTGAATCTCAGTGCAGCAGGCAGAAGGCTGTGGACTCCGCAGGCTGGAAGAGAGACGCGCATCTCCTGGAAGCGAGCTTCGCGCACGAGGGCAGCGGCCTGGCTGCAGCCTCACAGGCTCCTTTCAGAGTCTGTATCAAAGAGCCATTGTAAGGAGGACAACTGCTTACGCAGAGGGTCTCCACCCTAAAACATCTGATAAAGTCGCTCATTGTGGTATGCCCTATGTAGCCTTTTTGTTTAAAATTGGTTTGTAATGTACATGTCCTTTCAAACAGTAAACACTAAGTAGGGAAAATAAAACGATTTCTTTTTTATTGAATAAAAAGCAAATTTTATTTTTATTATTAAGAGAAGGGTGTTGTTCTTGCCGCAGTGCTGAGGATTGAACCCAGGGCCTTGCACACAGTAGGTGCGCACCCCACACCACCG